GGTCTGGTACCGGGGTCTCTGCTGGCGGGCGGGGACCCCTGGCCGGTGCCAAATCCCGTCCCTCTGCCCTGCAGAACCCCTGTGACGACAAGCGGCACAAGGATATCTGGTCCAAAGAGAAAACCTGCGACCGGCTCCCCAAGTTCCTTGTCGTTGGACCCCAGAAAACGGGTAAGTGTGCAGCTCGCGTCCCGCCTGCGGCCCCCAGTGCGCACCCGGGACGGGCGGCTCCAAAGCACAGAGCCCTGCCAAATCCCGTCCCTCTGCCCTGCAGAACCCCTGTGACGACAAGCGGCACAAGGATATCTGGTCCAAAGAGAAAACCTGCGACCGGCTCCCCAAGTTCCTTGTCGTTGGACCCCAGAAAACGGGTAAGTGTGCAGCTCGCGTCCCGCCTGCGGCCCCCAGTGCGCACCCGGGACGGGCGGCTCCAAAGCACAGAGCCCGAGAGAATCACGTGGGCTCAGGGCTGCCCCAGGCGAGAGGGGCCCAGATCCCTCCCAGAGACAGGCAGAGCGATCGCCCCAGCGAGACGCCTGCTCCCCACCCCGCTGGAGCTGCTCCCGGCCCAGCTGCCACCCCTCACAGGGGGTCTCTGCTGCTGTCGCACCACTGGCAGTGCTTGTGCTCGGTGCCCGTGCCGCACGGGGGTGCCCTGCAGGGACGCTGGTGCTCGTGTCGGTGCCTGTGCCGCACGGGGGTGCCCTGCAGGGACGCTGGTGCTCGTGTCGGTGCCTGTGCCGCACGGGGGTGCCCTGCAGGGACGCTGGTGCTCGTGTCGGTGCCTGTGCCGCACGGGGGTGCCCTGCAGGGACGCTGGTGCTCGTGTCGGTGCCTGTGCCGCACGGGAGGAGCTCAGCAGCGCTGCCAGAAGTCACCAGCCTGCAGCTGCTCAGTGCCTGGGTTGACCCCAGCTCTGCTCACTGCTGCGGCTTGTTGTAGGCACATCGGCTGTGCACTTCTTCCTCACCATGCACCCGGCTGTCACCAGCAACTTCCCCAGCCCCGGCACCTTCGAAGAGATCCAGTTCTTCAATGGGCCCAACTATCAGCGCGGGATTGACTGGTAAGAGGCCGCGCTCCTCCCAGCCAGCCTTGTCGGCGGGGGGGGCGCGCCGTTGTTCTGCCCAGCTGCTCCCAGGAGCTGGGGCTCTGGCCCTGGGTGCGCACGCTAGTCCCGAAGGCACAGCCACTCGGGAGGTCGGTGGCTGTAACCCAAGACAGGCCTTAAGGCTCAAGAACATCCCCTCGAGGGAGGCCCCCACTGCACTGGGAAACTGAGGCACAGAGACACTAGAGGACTTGGCTGAGGTCACACTGAACCCACATCTCCACGCCCCAGCTAGCCTGCTACCCACGGGGTGTTCTTCACGCACAGCTGGAGGCTGGCCACTCGGGAGGTCGGTGGCTGTAACCCAAGACAGGCCTTAAGGCTCAAGAACATCCCCTCGAGGGAGGCCCCCACTGCACTGGGAAACTGAGGCACAGAGACACTAGAGGACTTGGCTGAGGTCACACTGAACCCACATCTCCACGCCCCAGCTAGCCTGCTACCCACGGGGTGTTCTTCACGCACAGCTGGAGGCTGAGATCCTGGAGAATAATCAGGGGGCCTCACAGTCTCCCCAGCCAGTTCCAGGCAGGGTGGGCAGGGCAGC